AACCTTCAGCCATGATTACCACAGGTTAGTTCTCCCGCCACTGCTACGTACTTCCGTTGAACAGGAAATGAGATTTGGCCATGGCTGCGACAGGTTTGACCTTTTGCCGACGTCGTGGTTGGAGGATAGAGAGTGATGGTGGAGGCTTCGACGGCGTCATGAGTGAGGGTCGTCCGTCACTCCGAGGAGCTCTCAGGCGGCCATTAATGGCGGACAACCTTGCTCTCCATATCTAAGATAAACGCGAACCTTTCTTCAACGCGTGAGATCTGGACGGAGACAGAGATACTTCAGCGTCTGGGGAGATCCGGGTCAGCGGCACCCGACGCCTGACTTGGCCGGTAACGGCCCAGAAAGTGATAACACTGCCGGATCCGATCTGCAATTTCTTACACATGAAAAACTGCTACAAACTTCCAATCTTTCCCATTTTGTCTGAAATTTCTTGTCAATTCCTACCAAAGTGATGAGACAATAGAGACTCTCAATGAAAGCACCAATGTTGGTCCAAAATAGGACGCTCGTAGGCTTTTAGGAAAGCTACGTAAGAACACTCAAGCAGAAATCAGGAAAGTAATACGAGTAAGGAAAGTAGCTAGATAGTTTGGTAGCCAGAAATAACATATGAAGTTCGCCACCCTCTAATCTGAATTACAACATGCCTTTTATAGGCGTATACAAATCGTAACTTCTATTAACTAATAATGACTAATTAATTACAACATTAATACGGAATTAAATACATAATTAAACCCCGCATTAATTGTTTGGCCGTTACTTTTCCTGGCTGGCAGGTCGGCCGGACTGGCAGGCTCCCCGTTGGGGTGGTTGGCAGGCTCCCCGTTGGGGTGGTAGGCAGGCTCCAGGTTGTGAATCTGGATCCACGGGTCCAAGTTCGGGGCTTGGGGCGATTAGGCTCTGGGCCTAGCCCCATAACTCCATCATTAACAATTGGGATGAAATTCATTCTTCAAGAATCCATATGAGAAAATCAGGGTGTATAGTGTATTGCCATTTGTTAGCAATTAACCATTAAAAGACTAAATAAAATTGGAGAGTAACACAATTTATACCATGGGATCGGCAAACCATGTGCATGATGTGCCGATCCCTAGACGCCGTTTTATTAATTGAAATGCAGAGCAACTTGACCGAGAGACACGCAATTTCCAATCATTTGCTCGTGCTATGCCGTCACCAGGTGTTGAAGACGTGAATTCAAATCTTCCAATCGCCCATGTTAGTAGCTGTCGTGCCCTTGTGTTTAATCAAGTGAATTCAAACCTTCCAATCGCCGACACTCATCTTGCCCAACAAAACAAGTGAAAAACATTCCATCAAATACTTCATATATCACTACAAAAAATCCGCGTTGTAGTCACGGACTTAGTCACGGATCGCAGTGTAAAAAATCCGTGACTAACTCAATTAGTCACGGACATAGTCACGGCCAAAATCCGAGACTTCTCAGGCGTGACTAACTTTAGTCACGGACCATAGTTCGTGACTAAGTTTAGTCACGGACCATAGTCCGTGACTAAGTTTAGTCACGGACTAGTCACGGCCCATTTCCATGACTACAGTGTCACCGGAGTACTTTTCTGACCAGGCAAATTAAATTTAGTCACGGATGTTGTCCGTGACTACAAATTCAAAATTCAAATTTTTTAAAATAGTCACGGTCATAATTCGTGACTAAAATTTCAAAAATTCAAAATTTCAAATTCAAAATTTTCGAATTCAAATTTTCAAATTAGTCACGGTCAGAATCCGTGACTAGTTATTTTAATTTAAAAAAAAAAAAATTGTTTCGAAAAAAGAATTCCGGACTAGTTTAGTCACGGAATTAGTCCGTGACTATTTTTTTTTAATTTTAAAAAAAAAATAATTAAAATTTTTATAACTATTAATTTAACTATTTTAAAATAGTATTAAAACAATATTTGAAACGAATTTTTACAATTTATTTTTAAAAAATTGTAATATGTTTTTTAATTATTTTGAAAAGCGGAATTAAATATTACATAAATTCACTCATACACATTAATAGAAAATTGATAAATTCATGCATAAACAATTTAATAGAAAAGAAATTCATTCATACACATTTAAATCAAAAAATATATTATTACACTCATTCATAATAATGAAAATCACTGGGCTCTTGGGGCTGCTCGGGCTCTTCAGGCTCTTCGGGCAGGGTGCCTCCTCAGGTGCCTCCACGGCTGGCTCCTCCGCGGCTGGCTCCTCTGCGGCTAGATCCTCCACGGCTGGATCCTCCGCGGCTGGATCCTCCGCGGCTGGATCCTCCGCGGCTGGCTACGGGTGTCTGAAACATGTTGTTCCAAGACTGATCATGAAAGGATCCGTAGGAGGGCATGTTAAACCCGGAGTTGGAATGGAAGTTGCCCATTTGCGGAATTTGAGGAGTCATTTCAGGATGTCTCACATACGGCGGAGGCTGATAGGCGGCGTTGAACATATTCATTTGCTGTTCCATCATCTCAAGCCGGACTCTTGTTTCTTCATCCTTCTGGCGTTGCTCCTCTAATTGTCGCTGCAATTCGGCAATCCGAGGATCCTCACCACGCCGCGAACGAGAAGAGGAAGCGTCGTCGCGGTTGAGCAAAATCCGTTGGCCTTCGGCACCCAAGCACGGAACCCGACCCTTGTAAACCCCAGCTGCCTCCAGGATCGCCTCATCATCCTCATCAGAAGCGAGGTCATCCTCTTCCATCAATCCAAGCTCGGCACACTTATTCTCAACGGTTGAGTGATACTTCGTGTTCATGTACAAGATTAATTCTTGTTACGAACTATTTATTTAGAAGATTAAAGAGCAAGTGTATTTCTTACTTCGATTTCAGCGATGCGAGGTGGAAGGTCGGCTTCCGAATCGTCCCCGCCCTTCGTCCAACAGTGCTTTAACACCTTCAGATACGAGACCCTCTTTTTCTCAGGTCCCGCCTACATGGTTCGAAACGATTTAAAATCCAAAACTAATTGTAAACATGAAGGATTGTTTATATTTATTTTTTGAATTAGAACTTACAAGAGTTTTTTATGTTGAGGAAGAGGTTTGCGGCCCCCATGCCATTGGGTCTCCAAAGCCTTTTCAGACATCCGGTTTTTCTTACTGGCTGCGCTTCGTTGCGCAAACTTTGGATCCGTAGACCAATGGTTAACAAGGTTGGCCCACACATCATCGGCAATCCATGCGGGCTTCTTCATGTCTTTTCGGTAGCGTTTAAAAGAACTTACCATCCAAGACGAAACTCTTGCATTATACGCTTTAAGGATGGCGGGGCCATCCGCTTCAAGCCATCGGTGTTGGGCCTTTATTTAAAAAAAATTAAAGTAGTTTATTATTTATCAAATTTTAAGTTACTACATTTAAATCGAGAAAATTCATTTATTTTTACCTTAAACAAGTTCCACCAAAGTTCGCGGACCTCGACGTCTACTTCCGTGTAGGAAATCCAAGTACCCCTAAAATGTCCTTTGATGATGGCCTTGATCCGATTTAGGACATCTTGATCACTTTAAAAAATTTGTTATATTTTTTAATAGATTTTGATTAAATTATTTGACATTATACAAAATTATTTGACATTAGATAAAGTTCATAATTACTTACAAAGCAATCTGCTCAGGTGTCACCCAATGAGCAGTCTCATTATTGCGCTCCGCTGCTGTCTAGGGGGTGTAGTTCGGGCGAGCACGAGATGTCGATTGTTCATTACTCATCTAAAATTTATTAATTCATATCTTTAAATGTTAGTGTGATTATTATAATAGAACAATGTTTTAAAATGTTTTATTAATCAAAAATTGTTATGACATATTCGGACTTTGTTCAAGTTTAATATGGGGGTGGTAGTTTTTTGAATTTGACTAATGTAACATTGAAATAATACATTTTGGGAGGTAACATGTTAAACTTTTTGGCAAGTTTACATGAGGGGACATATTTTATTTTTATATTATTGGTATTTTGTGGGTATTTTATTTTGGTAAATTTTTTATACATTTTTATATTTTTTATAACTTCTTTCACTTCATTATATGTAAAAACGGTTTTTATAAACAGTTTATAAAAAGGGTGCTTCTACGGTACATGCAAAAAATGAGAGTGTTTTGGTACATCCATTTTTAAACCAATCAGATAAGAGAGGATTCCACATCAGATCAACGCATAATTTTAGTATAAACACGTCAAAGCACACCGTAATTTCAATATTTGCAATTGCAATACAATTCCTCCTCCATCTGTAGTTGAAGTCCGTAGACGGTAGATCGAACACATGACTGCCGTTACAAACCACAAAAAGAAAAAAAAAACTCACTGAAATAAGGAAGAGGCTACCTAAGGAAGAAGAAGATTTCGCCGAATGAACTTGCGGCGCCTAGTTATGGAAGACGTTGTGCCATCAACGAAGAAAGCCCAAAGAAATTACATGTTCCGGCGAGAATGCAGAGTCAAGAAACACAATATGTAGAAAACTATTAGCATAAGATTGAATTCGTAATATTAATTCTAACTCGCTAGAATTGAACTAGTGGAAGAAATGGTACCAGTAGAACATGAGAAATCATTCTTTACACTTTAAGGCAGAAGACAAGCTTGATATAATATTTCATAATAAAATGTTTTTTTTTGTTTGAGAGAATTTTTATTATTTCTCATTGAGCGAGGACTAAACTGCAAAATAAGGTAGTATAAAAAAAGAAATCTTCATAAGATTAATATCAAACTTAATTTAGTCACTCAAATTCTACATTTTATTACTAAATCCACAAGGAAAGTTTCTAATGCTAACCAGCAATGCAAGTTTGAAAACATCACAGTCTCTATTGAATTTTACAAGTCAGGCAATTTTTTTAAAATTGCCAAGGAAAAGGGGAGCTCTATCCTTATTCCTATGGGGCAGAGAAACTCAAGCCTGATTGAATTTCTGAATATTTTCTCTAACTTTGTTGGACTGCAAAAAATGTCACAGGAGGACCCGATGCTCTTTCCGCACGGGGACACTGAAGACACAGAGAACCTTACATCCCTCTCCAAAGCATTTCTTCAGTTTGATATTTCGACAACCTGTGCCGTCAAACCGCGAATCATATCTACAGAGATGAACATTTCTCGCTCCAGTGAGAAGGATCCTGAGACAATCGAAGTCCAACACATCTTTACTGAAATGACAGAGGAGGACCCCATTCAACATTTGGAAGCAGATTTGTCGAATGATGATTTTGACACTCCTTCAAGATTCTTTCCATCGGAAGAAGAACTTTTGGATCAATTGGTTGATACCAAATCTGCTCCCATTCCAAAGAGGAGGAGCACCCGCATCAGATCCAAGATTGCGCACGCTTTGCACTAATTTCTTGGGTCCAGTAGCATTAAATCTTTGATCTCTAGTTCCTTTACATTCCTTGTTATTTTCTCTTTCCTTGCATTGTACTTTTTTCTTCTATATTCAATAAAATTTTTTCCTTTCCCAAAAAAAAAAAGGGAAAATGGAAACTAATAATCCAACCTTTTAGCGGTCTTCTTTTAAAAGTCCCACCTTTTCGTTATTCATGAATAATCCAACCTTTGCACCTCATCTTCATTCACTGGTCTCCGACCAGTTGATGACCTGTTATTCCAAGTTATTTTCTTATCTTTGCAAAATATTATCTTTGTGAAAGGTGGAATTTATGGTATAATAGTTTGCACAGATAAGAAAATCACTCGGAATAGCATGTCATCAACCGGTTGGGGACCAATGAATGAAGATGAGGTGCAAAGGTTGGATTATTCATGAATAACGAAAAGGTCGGACTATTAAAAGAAGACCGCTAAAAGGTTGGATTATTAATTTCCATTTTCCCAAAAAAAAAAGGTAGTATAAAATTTTCATACTAAAATGATTAGGACGTGATCACGTGAATGTGGCAGTATTTGATTGGTTTAAAAATGGAGTGTACCGGTACATTCTATATTTAGTGATGTACCGTAGAATTTCCCTTATAAAAATTGTCTTTTCGGTATACATATTTTTGTTTTATAACAGTTTTTATAAAACTGTTTTTATAAAACAGTTTTTTAAATGAATTTTCAAAAACAGTTTCACAAAAAAACGATTTAACATGCATACTGAAACGAATAATATAATCATACATATTGAAGATTAAAATATGAATTTAACTACATACATCATGCACTTGGGTATGTTCGAAAAATAACAACAAAACATGCATGTTTTAACATTTTAAAACAATTAAAATTTATTATTAAAATACGAAAAAAAATAAAGTAGAGACATAACCTTAACCGGATTGCAGAGAACGGCGGTGGAAGGCGGCGGACGGCAGAGAACGGCGGCGTCGGAGGCGGCTGCGTTGGAGACAGCGGCGGCGGCGGCCTAGGAGCGAGTAGGAAGAAGAACAGGGAAAGAATATGAAGAAGGAAGGAGGAATAGGGAAGCGTAAGAGGAAAAAAAACTAAGTCCAACTTATATATTATCTTTTAGTCACGGACTTAGTCACGGACTAGTCCGTGACTAAACCCTTCGTATACCCGTTGTCAGCCACGCGGAAGGCGAGGTGTCAGAGCCGTCGTTGACCACTTTAGTCACGGACAAATCCGAGACTAAGTCCGTGACTATTTTTAAATTTTGAATATAGTCACGGACCTAGTCTAGGATATGTCCGTGACTAAAGTGGTCAACGGCGGCTCTGACACCGCGCCTCCCGCGTGGCTGACAACGGCTAGGTGTTTTCTGGCCCAGATGTTATATGTCAAAAAAATGGCTAATCGGGAACCAATTGACTGGGAAATGATGTACAGAGTATTTGGAATGAGCAAAAAAATTGTGTCGGATGCTTTGTCGTGCACAAGAATGTACAGAGTATATGGAACCGATAAACGCAGAAGAAAAATTGTGTCGGATGCTTTGTCGTGCACAAGAATGTACAGAGTATATGTACAGAGTATGTGGAACCGAAAAATTGTGTAATAAATAAATTCATGTTGGTTGTTTATTAAAATATTTAATTATTGTAATAAATTTAATAAATAATGATGAGGTGATTATTTTTGAAATTTCACAATTTTCGAAATAATTAATTTGAAATTTTTTAAATTAATACGAAATATTTAATCAATTTTCAAATGGGAAAGTTCCCGAAATGGGACTAAAAAAGTTTGAAAATTCCAAAATAGGACTGTCATGTTTTTATTCCCAAAATAGGACTAATTATTGTCAAATTTGGAAAATACTGCCATGTTTGAAATCTGGTACTGCCAAAACATGACAGTAATTAGTCCTATTTTGGAAATAAAAACATGGGAGTCCTATTTTGGAATTTTCAAACTTTTTTAGTCCCATTTTGGGTAATATCTCTTTTCAAATTTCAAATTTGAGAAATAATTTAGGATTTTCAATTCACATATAATAATGATGAAGAATAGAAACCAAATATTTGAATTCAAAAAATTGAAATTACAACAACACAATTAATCACTATCAGAATCGCTATTTTCTATATATACAACATCTTCATCTGTATCAGAACCGTCTACCCATTCTCCTTCTGCCTCATATTGAGTGTTTTGTTGTTCTTCGTACATCTGAACAATTTCGCGCTCAGATGGAGGTGTTTGGTCTGGAAGGTGTGTTTCAGGCACGACTTCAACACGCCCGCCATATGGATCACTTAACTGGATGTCATAGTTGACCGTCTCAACAATAGGCGGAGGTTGGAAAAATTGTTGCTGGAAAGCATCTAAATCAACGTCCTTGTGTTGAGATTGTGATACAATTTTGTTCGGACGGACAGTACATGCACACACCCAAGGATTCTGTGTTTACCTGGTTGAAGGGTATGGTGCATAGTAAACCTGTGCTGCTTGTTGAGCAAGTATAAAAGGTTCGTTTTTCTGATACACGCGAGAGTGGTTGACATCAATCATATTATACTTTGAATTTTTTTCTCACCCCGCGTGTCGGATCGACCCAGTTGCAACGGAACAGAACGCATGTCAGTTTCTGCATACCAGAAGGCATTTCAAGTTCGATAATCTCATGCAAGATACCAAAAAAATTGGTTTCCGAGTTATCATAACCGATGGTTTGCACACATAACCCGCTGTTTGTTGTTTGTCGGTCCTGTCCATAATCGTCTGTGTGATATGTGTAACCGTTTATGACATATGACCGCCAAACTTTGACATTGGAACCAGGACCCCATGCTAATGATACTAACAGAGGGTCGTCAATCCCACGGTAAGCGATCTGTAAATTAAAAACATGATAACATTGGGTAATTATTAAAAAATAATTACTTAATAATATATATAATGTGTATATATATACCTGTTGCTGGTACCATCTAGCAAAATCAGCGTCCACCCTTGCATCGATTTCATAATCAGGATATGCGGATATAGAAGCTTTAAATTCACTGTGATGCAAAACATCAATATATTATAAATTAACTAACTTAAAGATATATTACAAATATAACTACCAATTTCACTTACTTATAAAATGGTAGAATTTCTGGACAATTCATTAAGATGTAAGTATGTGCAATTTTGTACTCTTCGCCCAAGATGAAACGGCTAGTCGCAGCTCCTTTACCTCTACCTGGGTAATTGAAAATGGAAACTACATTTTCATACAAATCCTCGCCGATGTCATCGTTCCGGGCAGGTCCCTTTCTTCTGGTGATGACTTCTCGCTCAAAGTAAAAAGATGAGAACGTTGAGATTTCTTGTTGAATATATGCGTGACAAATTGAAGCCTCAACGTGTGTCTTGTTGTTCACCTTCTTTTTCAAGTCTCCTGAAATCTGAAATGTAAAATATAAAGTTGTAAACTAACTATAAAAAAAATAATCAAAGATAAAGAAATTGTGACTGACCTTTCAAATCTGTACATCCAACGATAGAAAACGGGCCCAGCAGTCAAAGCCTCGTACGGAAGATGTATTATAAGATGTTCCATTGCATCGAAAAAGGACGGAGGCATTATTTTTTCCAAATTACACATCAGAATGGGAACAGTGTCTTCTAATCTCCGTAGGGCTGCTGCATCCAAAACGCTGGAACAAATGGACTGAAACAACAAACTGATTTCAGTAATACATGACCAGACGTCTTCCGGGAGCACCTCTTTAAGTGCAATCGGCAGAAGTCTTTGCATGATTACATGAGCATCGTGAGTTTTCATGCTCGCAGTCGTGGTGAGTTTTTTCATGTCCACGCATCTGGACAAGTTGGAGCAGTAGCCATCTGGAAACTTCAGAGACACAAGCCACTGTAATATAGATGCCTTTTGTGCTTCCGTGACTTGGTAGACTGCTTTTGGGATTTTGTTACCTTCATGTTCTGGATCAACAGAAAGTTCGGGTCTGTCACACCATATTGACATATCTTTTCTAGATGCAAGACCGTCTTTGGTTTTCCCTTTGAAATCCATCGCTGTGTTAAATATATTGTCAAAGACGTTCTTCTCAGTGTGCATGACATCTATATTGTGATGAATGAGAAGGTCTTTCCAGTATGGTAACTCCTAAAATATACTCTTTTTTGTCCACTTATGGGTATCACAATACCCATATGGATCCTCATGGGGCTCTTGCACAGCCGTAGGAATACGTCGAACCCGGTCAAAAATTTGTGAACCACTCAATCTCGGGGGTGGGGGGTCTCGTACCACTCTACCTCTAATGAAAGACTTTCTGTCCTTTCGGTATCGGTGGACTGCCGGGAGAAACTTGCGGTGACAGTCAAAGTGACTTGGTTTTCTGCTGTAGTTTAGCCAATTCGCACCTGATTTCTACATGCATATCGGACAGCCCATAAGACCGTGTGTGCTCCATCCCGAAAGCATACCATACGCAGGGAAGTCGCTAATGGTCCAAATGATGGCAGCTTTCATGGTGAACATCTGATCTGTTGAAACATCATAAGTTCGTGTCCCAACGGTCCAAAGTTGTTTCATCTCCTCGATAAGGGGTTGGAGATAAATGTCTATCCTTTTTCCAGGATCATTAGGACCCGGACAAATTAAAGTCAAAAAGATGAAATGACTTTGCATGCACATGTCGGGAGGGAGATTGTAAGGAGTTAACATGACTTGCCAACAGGAATAGTTCTTCCCAAACCTTCCAAAAGGAGCAAATCCGTCTGAACACAATCCCAGGCGCACATTTCGTGCTTCCATTGCAAATTGAGGATGGCAACGGTCAAAGTGTCTCCAAGCTTCACAGTCTGAAGGGTGAGACATCATACCCTCTTTGGTTTCGTGTTGAACATGGCATGTCATGTGTTTTGCAGTAGCATTTGAAGCATACATTATTTGAAGTCGTGGACCTATTGGGAGGTAATACAGTTTAGATAATGCAGACCTATTTCGTGATTTTCTTTTACTTTGACGAACAGGTTTGTATCTGTCTCCTCCACAGAACTTGCAGATCTCAAGTGTCTCATCATCCTTCCAGAACAGCATACATCCCTTAGGGCACGCATCAAT